TTACAAATTCCAACCACTTTAGACAGTCTCGTAGCAAAACATAGAGAAAATAGTTGATTTTGGTATTTTGTCAAGCGAACTAAAAGTACATATACTTTTTCGCAAAAAAATAACTGAAATTATGTCTCTTAAATATACCTCGATTTCGGCATGTGCCAGTATTCGGATTTATCTGAAAATTTGTGTATGAGTTGATGAGAGATTGTCCCAGAACATATCTCAGTATCTAGTTGGGGTACCCTTTAGTCCTTTTTTTATTGATTCTGAAAGTTGGTCTAAATTCTCTCATATTCATTGAGATTTTATCTATTACAACAACAACAAAACTATTGAACCGTGTAAAATAGCGCAAAAAAAATCGTTTAAATTTCACAAAAATTACGACAAGTTGCTATTACACTGATTTATTACGTTTATATCTTGTTTTTAGAAACTGAGGAAGTAATATAATTTATTTTGCGCGTACTTTCTTATTAGAATTGAGATCATTTAGATTAGATTGCGTGTCGCGATTGTCACAACTTTTATAATCCGACATGAAAACACATTATTTTATAAAAATAGTTAGTTTTTGTTTAGCTTACGTTATATTTTTGCGGTATTAATATGATTTCATTTCTTATTCTATTTTTTTTTTTCATTTTTGCAAGTTCAAGTTTCGTTACTATGTTAGGACGGCTAATTTATTCATTGCGGCTGCCAAAATTTACCGAGTTAACACAATTTTGTTTCGCGCCAAAACTATGACTGCGTACATGTATAATGTTTAAAATAATATTAGTTATGGYCGTATGCTCGTTTGGTCTGATTTTAAGCGAGGCATGCGGACCAGATAGAAGAGATCGAGGCAAATCTCAAACTATAATAGTACCGCTTCAAAGTTGTCAGAAAGATATCACCRGCCACACATCTTCATGGTGCATCACAGGAATAGACACTGAAATCGAACTTATACTCGCCAGAGTAAAACCAGACTTTAACGACTTGAGTAAACTTACAATCTGCCCATTTCATCGGGATTCACTTGGAGTTGGGTGGCGCAGAAACTCGGAGCGATGCGCGGTGCCGCAAGAGCTGTCAAAGCACAAGCAGCAAAAAGGTTTAAAATGGCCAAGAGCCGAGAGAGGTATAGGTAGAAGCAACTCGCTAGTCTTACTCAAAAGAACCGGCATATTTTTACCAGTTGGAACAGGTAAGAGATATATTATTAGCGATAGCTTTTGTTGAATAGTTTTGAAAAGGTATAATGACAAGTTACCGAAACTGATTATTTTAGACGTCGATATTTAAAGATGCTATCTCAGTCATTGTTTATTTCTGTAGGCGTTTTATATTCTAAGATGTTACTATTTTTTGGCTGTTTCAATCATGCAATAGAAAGATAATCTAAGATTATACTATAACATGCTTTCGCTTTTCATTGACAGGTGTATGCCGCAATTGTAGAAGTCTACTGAATTCGCTGGCNATATTATATAATTTATCAAAAATTGATGATAAGCCTAGCGAGACTTAATCAAATCATACCACAGGGAACCCAATACAAGGAAAACTAATGTTGAATAAGCATATCTGCCGTTTATACATATCAACCATCTACATACAGCCTTTTGCAAAAATTATGAGAATTGTCTAAATATCTAAATATCATAATATCCATACATTGTCCGGAACACGCGGGTTTGCTAGAATAATTCATTGTTGACATCGAGAAAATGTTCATAACTACGGATAAGTCCGTGGCCAAAAAAAAAAACTAAACTACAAAGACAAGGGACTAAGGGCATCGCGCGGGATTACCCATCATGCACTTGATATTATGATATTTAGATATTTCAACAATTCTCATAATTTTTGCAAAAGGCTGTATATCCGTATGTTTACATATATCTGTATATCATATGTATTGCTTTATAGAATGATTGTGCCGCAGCTAGCCTTCCATTTGCTCAGAGCACTCCGGCCCCAAAGTTTGCGTCCCAGCTTCAAGTGACCGCTACTCCAGGAGGTAGTCTTTTCGTTCCAGATACAAGTTATGAAGAATCTCAAGAATCAGAACAAGATACAGCTGATTCATCGCTTACTCTCCTTAACACGTATCTCAGAAGCCGAAGCATAAGTCCAGTACGTTACACTCTACAGAAACCATGGGATGAAGCAAGTAGTAGAACTAGACGAGAGCATGTACGCAAGGCAAAGCAAGCGATTACAGCAGTTGTCGACGACATTGCTCCTGGTCAGGCAGTGCAATTATGGCGTGAGCTTTTGAAGAGAGAAATGTTTTCAGATGTCAATTATGATGATGCTGCTCTAGAAACTAGTCTTGATGAAACGCTCATAAGAGAACTTTCAGTGTGCTACAACAATGCGAGTGGCTGGGCTACGAGAAGGCAAATTTTGTCCTATATGGCCGACAAGTTAACATTTAAACATATTCAGAAGTACATACCAGGAATAACTAGATACCGATTCACAATAGCCAGAAAGCACATTCTTGAGCATGGTAAGGGCGTGGCTCCTCAAACAAAAAGTACAAGAATAGCAGTGSCACCTGAAAAGCTTTCACATTTTCTGGACTTCATTACGAGTCCACATTTAATTCAAGATTTGCCGTTTGGATCCAAAACAATCACCCTGTCAAACAAAGAGGTAATTAAAGTCCCCAATGTCATCCGGAATATGATACCTGAAAGGATTGTCAGCCAGTATCAAGCTTTTGCAGAAGAGTCCAGTTTCGTTCCAATGAGTCGTTCGACGCTTTTACGAATACTCCGCGTTTGTTCAGCTTCCACAAGAAAGTCACTCCAAGGACTTGATTACATTACTGCAGCTGGGACAGAGGCATTTGATTGTCTGGAAGATGTAGTCAATCGTTTGGAAGAAATGGATGGCAAGATATCGACGGGTGAAGCAAGACAACTAAAGGATAATCTAAAGACAGCAAAGCGGTACTTAAAAAACGACTACAAGGTACTACTGTATATTTAAGTATCGTCTATTGCGAAATAGCCATATATTATCATTTTGTAACTATCTTATGAAACCGAGGTTGGCGCAAAGAACTACTCGAATATCAAAATAATTCGCAAATCACTGGCATGATGTTTGTCGCGAATTGCTTTCATAACTGCTTTTGAGAAAAACAAATTCCGTCTATCTTTTGATGCATTTATATATCCCAAAAATACTCTTTTGGCACTTTTTTCTATGTGTCTAACAAAATTAAATCAATATTTTCTTCATTGTAGGTTCACGTCTCAAAGAGCTCAAATGTTCCTGATCACTGCAGACCTTATGCATTAAGTGATCCCAAAGATGCTGATTATCAATCTCTTTGTACGCATAAACATGATGAAATCTGTGAACAATGTGAGTTGATGGTTACTACATTGCAGAGTATTGAAGACGCAGTTGCAAGCTTATCTTGTTCTGAAAAGGAAGAGTTACAGTTTTTAACCAAATCTTCGAAGCATGACATTTTATCATACAAAGCCCATCTTTTAAGGTCTGTTAATCAAGATGAGGCGCGACTAGATAACATATCGTGTTTAGATGAAGATTCTGTTTTATTGGTTCAAGATTGGGCGATGAAGTTTTTGCCCCGAAAATTTAGAGAAANTGCAGACCCTCAAGGGGGCAAGGGGGCCTGCGACAGAAAGTCAGCCACAATAAAGTCACACATGAAGATATATCTCAATGAGGGCCACAACATTGACAATGCAGAAGAAATGAAGACGGCCATCCTTTCATCCGGAGGAGTACCTGGTGTGCGTGTAACCGTATCTGGACCACCGCAGAATGCGTCTTTGACAAAGAACATGAAAATTGAAAGTGTCAGCAAAATCTCCAATGTAAAGTTTACGACTGAAGGCATGCATATCTGGAGAGCCTACCAGATTGGCAAAGGAAAGATACTGCCATGGTCAAAATGGGATACATCTAAGGTAACACTGCCCACAATAGCAAGTACCGAGCAAGAACAGAGCATGAATTCTGTGTCATTTCAATCACTCCATAACGCAAAGAAAACTGTCAAAGAAGCGAGCAACAGTACAGATGTCATATCATCATCTACAGCACCAACTGATATCCATGACGGACTGTTCACCTGCCCAGAAGTGGGATGTGTGAAATCATATCAACGTTGGTCAGCTCTTCAACATCACCTTGAGATTGGCAAACATGAAAGGGCACTTGAGAACGACACTCTAATGGATAAAGCAGCACAKGGCTATGCTGAGCGACTAGAACAGCAGGCGGTGGCAATACCTAACGTCATTGAAGTAGCTGGTAAGAAGACTAAAGAATCAGAGCGTTCCGCACCTGCAGAAATGGGCTGGGCCCTCAAGTCAACGCAGTCGACAAAGAAACGATTCTCAGACAAGCAAAAGACCTATTTGATGAAAATGTTTCAGCTTGGAGAGAGTACTGGGTACAAAGCCGATCCTTCAGCAGTTTCAAAGGCAATGATCAAAGCARGAGGCGATGATGGTAACCGACTATTCAATAGCGAAGACTTCCTAACTACACAACAGATCCGAAGTTTTTTTTCACGGACGGCTTCCAAAAAAAGACTTGACGCAAAGACCACACAATGCACAGGTAATTATCGTCGATTATGATATATTAACTGGTTAAGGTTATTCCTTTAATTCTTTACTGATTATTGGAGTTGCAATAAAACCGAAATGCAACCACTTATACGTTTTTAGCTGGTAAATTTTATTTCTATCAATTCATTCTGATAACTGATTTTAACGTTTGTTTMATTAATAGATGAACTGATTGAAGATGATGACAATCTTGATTATGACGACGAGAATGCAGAAGAAGAGTACGAACTCGAAGAGCTCACAAACAGAGTTAATCAAGAAATAGGATTACAACATCCAATAGTATATGATTCACACAATATCTGTGAGCTTCTATCAGCCAATAAGCTTAATAAATTTAATATCAAAATGCTGAAAATAATTTGTTCGCATTTTGAATTAGACACTTCAGAAATAACAGCTAAATTGAAACAACCRTACATCTCAAAACTACGAGATTTTTGGAAAAACTGTTCGTGTCAGCAGTAATTTTTAGGTTTTAATACCATAGTATACAATAAGATAGGTCGATTTCCCAGTCAAATGGTGGAAATATACAGTTTACATTATATTGAAATGATAATCGTTTTAACTCTTACAATCGAAGAAATCAGTTAAACTATTGAAAACAAGTATGATTCTATAGTCGTATTGAAACTTATACAATTTCATTAAAAAAAAATAAAGTGCGTGCAAAAAAAGGTCGACACTCGAAAATGTAAGTGTTTTCATGTCGGAAATTATCTCGAAAACACGCTAAAAAATTGTATTATTACTTCCACAGTTTCTAAAAACAAGATATAAACGTAATAAATCAGTGTAATAGCAACTTGTTGTAATTTTTTGTGAAATTTAAACGATTTTTTTTGCGCTATTTTACACGGTTCAATAGTTTTGTTGTTGTTTTAATAGATAAAATCTCAATGAATATGAGAGAATTTAGACAACTTTCAGAATCAATAAAAAAAGTACTAAAGAGTACCCCAACTAGATACTGAGATATGTTCTGGGACAATCTCTCAWCAACTCATACACAAATTTTCAGATAAATCCGAATACTGGCACATGCCGAAATCGAGGTATATTTAAGAGACATAATTTCAGTTATTTTTTTGCGAAAAAGTATATGTACTTTTAGTTCGCTTGACAAAATACCAAAATCAACTATTTTCTCTATGTTTTGCTAYGAGACTGTCTAAAGTGGTTGGAATTTGTAATAAATAGCGTCAGTTTTGTATTTATAGCGTGTTTTTAGGAGTTTATAGCTCATCTACAGCATCTATTTAGTTACGCTGATTTGGATCATTTATTGAGGCCCTGACCACGGTCGATCAAAAAATTAAATTTTCTCGAAAATAAAACGCTTTTTAAACAAACAAACTACGTCAGACTTCTAACCTAATGAAGGGCAATTTATGTTAACAAAATGAAGTAAATCGATTTTTGCGACTCCGCCACATTTTCTCATTTTTGCTCGATTTTTACTGACATTGGCTCTTAATAGATGTGGAAAGGCTAAAGTTTTCCCTCGGAAAAATAATTCAATTTGCAAAAATACACAATAACATGAATTATGAGAGCTAGAGTTCAATGTTTGGTTCATCTTTTCGTTTTTCTGCTAAAGTTTTGCGCGTGGTAAAAAATACCGAGTTCAAAGAGAAAGGATTGTTTTCCCCCTCTTTTTTCGCGGTTTTATCTCCCTGAAATCAGTTCTATGCAGTCTGAGCGAAGTTCGGTAATGTTTGCTTAGGATCAACAAAGTCTCACATTCTGTTGTTGAACGGACCGATATGCAGATTGACTTCTGCTCAACTTTTGTTGGTTCTGTCACCGACTAAAGCTTGTTTTTTTTTTCCAAACTTTCTTTGCGCAGTGAACGAAGTTACTGAACTGGCCCAATTGGTTTGATGATCAAAGTTTCTTGCTCTATTGTCACAGAACTCAGTTTCTCTAAAACTATAAGTGCAAAAAGGGTA